GCTCAGCCATTTGGGGTGCCAAGGGGAGTAGCAGGTGTGGCTCTGGCCTCTCCTGGGCCCAGCTCGGAGCAAAGGCCAAGGTTCAGGAATGTGGGGCCCAGCCTCACTTCCACTGACTCCGTTTCCGATCCCCTGCAATGGCCAGGCCTGCATTCTGTCACACACAGGCCATTTTCTTTGTCTTTGAGATAGAATCTTTCTATGTGGTCTAGGCAGGTCTTGAGCTGATGGGCTCAAGGGATCCTCCTGCCCCAGCCTCCTGAACACCATCATGCTTATGTTTTAACATATCCAGTTCGAAGAATGGAATAGTGAGGCCAGCATGTGTGTGCGGCCGAGTGAGAGTGGGCCCACAGTCACACCCTATCTGTGCCTCCACTTCCTTCCCGTTGTAAGAAAGAACCCTGGCCTGGAAGTCACCTGCCACCAGTTGTGACGTCAGGATCGAGTGCTCAGAGCCACTTCCAAGCAGGCAGGTGACAGATGGAGAAACTGAGGCCCCAGAGATGAGAAGCTGCCAAGTGCTGGCTCGGTGATCAAGGTCAGCTCTTGCTCTCTGCCCCCAAACCCCAAAAGTCAAATCAGTGAGGTTCGGAGACTCCCCTTCCTCGGTGCGGGAAGGAGGGGTGTCAGGGAAGAAAGAAGAGGCTGAGGGGAGGGGAGAAGGGGACAGGAAGCCCCAGCCTGCAGGAGAAGCACAGGGACCTGGCCTGGGGTCCAGGAGCCCCTCGCAGGGTGGAATGGAGTGGGGAAGTCGCTGGTGAGCGCTGGGGAATGAGCCAAATATATGCAGAAGCCATTTCCTCTCTCAAGGAAGATAAACAATAGATTCATAAACAAATTTCACAAAGCTATCCAGCTATTTAAAGCCTCCTGGTACTAACTCATATCCTCTGTGAGCATAAATCTAATCGCCCAGTGATCCACAGCTGTCCTGGGGAGGAGGATGAGGAGGAAGGGGTGAGGAGAGGGAGATGCTCCGTCTCAATCTTTCCCCTGCTAGGTCTTGGCAGGTCGGCTGCAGACCCTCTCTGAGCCAGGTTTTGGTCTGGTTCCATCCTCCGTGATAAAAGGACAGAAATTCCTGCCCAGTAAGGCCACGGCGGAGAGGAAGCTGAGATGTGCTTTCTGGCGGCGCAGGACAAGTCTTACAAAGTAAAAATCTTGGGCACATTTCTAAGCTGCTATGAATGGAAAAGTTCTTCAAAGACCAAAACACCCTGGAAGCCAGGAGCTAGAGAGGGATCTAGCACCGAGGCTGGATTTTGCCCCAGGAGTTTGCGCTGAACCCCGGAGGTTCTGATTTTCCCAGGCACAGCTGCCCAGGTTTCAAAGCCTGGGGAGACGTCTCCCCCCCACAAAGTGAGGGCTCCAAAGGGCTCCTTTCTTGGGGACCAAGAAACAGACAGACAAAAGGGAACTGCAAGGACACTTCATCTTGGGCTGGGAAAAAGTCTCTCCTAAGATTGTGAAACCAGAACCAGGACTCCCCACAGGGGTGCAGTCTGAATCACAATCCTGTGTAGACAGAAAGCCTTAAGTACGGAATGAATTCTAGGCAACCTTGGGTTGGTACCCACCCCACCCCCACCGCACATCCCACCCCAAACAACTAGCAAAACTTAATGCAAATCATTTCTGGAAAAGGGACTCCCCACAGGTGTGCAGTCTGAATCACAATCCTGTGTAGACAGAAAGCCTTAAGTACGGAATGAATTCCAGGCAACCTTGGAACCCACCCCACCCCCACTCCACATCCCACCCCAAACAACTAGCAAAACTTAATGCAAATCATTTCTGGAAAAACTAACTTCAACACACAGCTCAAATGATTCTGAAGAATACAGTTCCAAGGAGAACAAGCAGCTGGTAGGAAACAAGGCAGCGAAAGCAACCAGCAACAGAACCAGACCTGCAAAGATGCCAGATTCTGCAGTCACCAGACATGAGATTTAGAAAATCTCCAAATAACGAATTCAGTATTTTATAGCATTAAACATTTTCAAACATGAGCAAGAAATGAGGGACCTGGAAAGCCACCAAGCAGATTTGAAATATAACAGAGCCAAACACCTAGAAATGACCAATAAAGGAAATGAAAAAGTCAATGGTGGGCCGGGGATTTAGCTCAGTGGTTCCGCTGCCTGCCTTGAAAGCACAAAGTCCTGAGTTCAAATCCCCCCCGCCAAAAGAAAAGAAAAAGTCAATGGATGGATTAAGCAGTGTTGAAGGCACAGAGTGAATGAGCTAAACAGAAAACAGACGAGAAAAATTTATTCAGAGCTCGGCACAGAGAGACAGATGAAAAATTCTGCAGAGCACCAAAGAAATCAGCGATCTTTAATGCAGCCAGAGAAAAGCGCCAGACCACAGGGCAGGTGTCAGAGTGACAGCTCACTTCTCAGCTCCGTGCCAGAGGCTGGAGGACAATGACAAGGAAAGCCACCTTGCAACACCAAGAGTGAAATAAAGCCATTTCCAAACCAGCAAAAACTAAAAGCCAAACAGAAAGACCCTGCGAGTCTGCCATCCACAGACCCTCACTAAAGGATAATGCTAAAGGATTTATTTCAGGCAGAAGGAAATGACCCCTGGTTCAGGAAAGAAGGGTAAGAAAAAATATCGATAAATGGGCAAATGTATACAAACAGTGTATAAAATAAGGGTGTCTAATTTGTAGGGAAAAATAGGGTTGGATGAAAACACATGAGAATATAGTAAGTTGGGAGTAGCGATTAAAATTAAACCAGGCTGTGGTTCTTGTATTGTCTGGCAGGAAGGGAAAGACACTGGTTAATTTTAGACTTTAAGAACGCCTGTTAAAATAGTTGGGGTAACCACTGACTGAATAAACGTAAACTATGTAGATTCCAAAGAAGAAGATGGAAAACAGAATGGGGAGGGGACACCTCAAACTAAAAGAAAGAGTAGGGGCTGGGGATTTAGCTCAGTGGTTCCGCTGCTTGCCTTGAAAGCGCAAGGTCCTGAGTTCGATCCCGGGTACCCCTCCAAAAGAGCAGACAAAATGAAAAGCATACAAAGATGGAAGAAATAAATCCTAATTCATCCATAAGAACCCCAAACATCCAAACACCAAGGAGCACTGTCTTAAAATAGGTAAAGCAGACGTGAGGATTGCAAGGAACAACTGGTAAACCCAGTGGGAGACTTGAATACATTTCTCTTAAGAAGCAACACAGTCAGCAGACAAATCAAAGTAGGATTTAACGCACTATAGAACAGCGGTGCCCAAGAGTTTGGCACCAGGGACAGGTTTTGTGAAAGGTAACATTTCCAGGCCGGGGATTTAGCTCAGTGGTTCCGGCGCTGGTTTTGCAAATGCAAGGACCTGAGTTTGATCCCTGGAACGAAATAAAAAAGAGAAAAGGAGAGAAGAGAGAGACAGAGAGAGAGAGAGAGAGAGAGAGAGAGAGAGCAACATTTCCATGAACAGAGAAAGGGGGGGGGCTTACGGTTTTGCAAATGCAAGGACCCGAGTTTGATCCCTGGAACGAAATAAAAAAGAGAAAAGGAGAGAGAGAGAGAGAGAGAGAGCGCAACATTTCCATGAACAGAGAAAGGGGGGTGGCTTCAGGAGCCATCCAGAGGGTTTGAAACACAGTTCCCAGTAGGGTCTGCTCCTGTGAGAATCGAATGCCCCGCCCATCTGACAGGGCGGTGGTGACAAACACACAGGACCCTTCCCTGCACCATTCAGTACTGGTCCCTGGCCCAGGAGTTGGGGACCTGCGGTATCGGTGACATGAACAGCAGCACAAGGAATTAACACACTTCAGTGATTGTATACAAAAAACAGAATGCAATGAAGAACACAGTTTACAAGCACTTATGGAACATTTAAGAAAAAAGTGGATATTGTATACCTAAAATGTACCAATAAACTCAATGAGAGAAGAAAAAAAAGTGAAAAGAAGATAAAATATAAAGAAGGAATACAAAAGAGCAGCACGGTGCACATTCCAAACCTCTCCGAGAAGCCAGTCTGTTTTGTTTTTTTTAAAAAAGCAGAGCCAGGTGTGGTGGCACGTGCCTGGAATCCCAGCACTCTGGAGGCTGAGGCAGGAGGATCACAAATTCAAGTCTCATCTGGGGGCAACTGAGTGACTTAGTGAGACCTTATCTCAAAATAAAAACTAAAATCAGGGCCGAAGAGGTAGCTCAGTGCAGAGGCCCTGGCTTCAATCCTCAGTAACACAAAGAAGTAAAACACATACGAAGAGACCCATGGGCCTGGGTGTGACTCAGTGGCAGAGACCCCGCCTAGTGTCCCTGCAACCCTGGGCTCTATCAGCATTGCCAGGAAAAGACAGTGAGCCTGTCCTCCTTGCTCGCGGCTGCATCTCCCAGATCAAGCACAGGGCCTGGCTCAAGGGGGCCCTCAGCAGTCCCCGAAGACTGAGCCGAGAGGGAAGGGCTCCGGCGCCATTCCCAGGCCACGAGAGTAGGTGGGAAGGCAGACATGGAGGGACAGGAGGACAAAGCGAATGGCACCTGGAGAGCTCACACACAAAGGAGCAGCCATCTAGGCGTGAGGAAGTGACAGATGGCCAAGCAGGGGCCAGCGGACAGGAAGTAGACTCTGTCTCCCCTGTGAGGAAGGGTCTTCCATCATGAAACTGCCCAGCACGGGTTAGCAACGGGCCTGGCCGATCGTCCCAGGCCCCAGTGAGGGACAGGGGTCTCTCAGCCCGTCCTGAGATGCTCAGCTCACTGACCAGCAGTCTTTCCCAGTCCGTCCTCACCCCCAAGATTCTCCCATCCCAAACTTCCCCCGGGACCTGACCGAGGTCCCGGATGCAGGTGGAGGTGGAGGAGTGGCACGAGCCTCACCCGATGCAACCCGAACAGCCGTTATGCCCGTTGGGGGCTGCACACGTCTAAGACCCCCTGTGTCCCAGGACCCCCTGTCCTCCAGCACACTCGAGGGGTTACACAAGCACACGGAGTCTGTCGCCTCCCGCAGAAGGAAGCAGGCTCACCCAGACAGGGGCAGCAGGTGGCTGAGCGGGGGGCCTGGCTCTGGGGAATTCTCCTGCGGCCGCCGGGTCATGCTGTCGTCATGCTGCTGTCAGGTGGGAAGTGGAGACCTGCGGGGAAAAGGAGAAGGACGGGTCACTTCCTCAGCTTTGTCTTGTCCTGTTTTTTTTGTTGTTCTTTTTGGTGGTACTGGGGCTCGAACCCAGGGCCACCTCCAATACCCAGCCGTTTGCTGTTAAATTTCATTTTGAGACAAGGTCTCACTATGTTGTCCAGACTGGCTTCAAATCTGTGGTCCTCCTGCCTCAGCCTCTGGAATAGCTAGGGTCATGGGTCGCATCATCAGACTCGGCTGCTTCCTCATCTGTTGCTCCCAGCTTGCTCCCACCTCATGCGGGACATTACAAGAAAGCCTAGAGTTCCTGGGGCTGCCCACACACCCTCTCAGGGACCGGGGGGTGGATGGGCTTTCACTCAGTCAACTGTGCCTGCCGCCCCACAGTGGTGAGGAATTGAGGCCACCGAGACGAATTAAATGCAGCCCCTGCTCTCAGAAACTGACGGAGGGGAGTTTGTGCGTGTTTTACTATGACCTAAATCCATCCATCGTCCTATTTTTTTTTTTTTACAGGACGCGATGGCAGCTTACAATACTAAATAACGTGCCAAAACTGCAGTGCGCATTTAAATTTTAAAAAATTACAGTCAAAGACACTGTCATGAATCGCCCTCAAAATAGTCCTCCTTGCTTTGTTCTTTTCCCATCATTTCCGACAACTTCTCACGCAGCTCCGGAAGTCTGCTTCCACGTCTTTATGTGAGGTGATCAAGAATATGGTCCCTGCTGCGGTCGAGAGCCACGAGACGGAAAAGCAGCGCAAGAAAGCAGGACACTCACCCAGCTTATTCACCGGAGCTGGCGCCGTGCGACCTCGGGCCCTTGCTCAACATAAAGATGACCCCAGGAGGTGACATTTCGAATGGACTCAGGACATCCGGGCAGCTGTGAGAGCACAACCACAGACACTCACGAAAGAGCTCTCCCAGAGCTGCTTCAGAAAGTGGCCAGAAGGGAGGGATCTGGAGCGAGGGGCAGTGTTTTGAGGGGGATTCGCGGCAGTGTCTTTTACGGTGCTACATTTTAGAGCACTGAAACATGCACTGCGTTTGTTGATCACATCATGTGAAGAGCTTACGGCACAGTGCCTCTCACACTATTTGCGATGAACACTTACTCTCGATACTTTAATTTCTAAACCATCACAGATGTTTGTGAGAGACAGTAAAAAGGAACTGCTGAAAAAAATCAACTGAAAAGACACTCATACAAAGTACAAGCCCACATTTTAGTTACTGGACCCAACACCCTGTGCTCTCGATTTCTGTGCCTCTCTTGTGGACCACGGACAGGGCATTGGACAGAGCCACTGCCGAGGCACCGGGCCCCGGGGTCGGTAGGATAAGGGGTCTGGAGTCGCTCTCTGGACTACGGTGAGTTAGTTCTTCTGCAGTTATCTCTCCAGCAGGGACAAAGAATGAGGCTCACCGAGAGCCTGATCTGCACCATCCCGTACTTCTCATCTTCAGTTCGAGACGGCCAGGCTCAAGCTGCCTCTCTTTTTTTTTGTTTTGGTACCAGGGATTGAACTCAGGACCTTGCGCTTGCAGGGCGGGCGCGGCGCCGCTGGGCTGCATCCTTGGCTCAAGCTGCCTCTTAAAGGAAAGGAAGGAGCTCTCTATTAAAATGAACTGGGAAGAAGCAAAACAACAAAATGAGCTGAGAGCTGGGAGCGATGGCACTCACCTATCATCCCAGTACTCTGGGAAGCCGAGCCAGGAGGGTCTCAAGTTCAAGCCTAGCCTAAGGAACTTAGCAACTTAGTGAGACCTTGTTCCAAAACAAAAAAGGGCCGAAATGGAGCTCAGTGTGAAGGCCTTGGGTTCAATCAATCCCCAGCACTAGAAAAAGACAAACCAAATAAAACAAAACAACAACAACAAAAACAAACTAGAATGCTTCAGAAAAAGCATCTTTAAAAATGGCAAGAGGGCTGCTGGTATTCATTCTTTTGCTTAGGGCTATAAAAATGACTTTCTCCCCAAACTGAGAATCCACTGTCCGTGTCCAGCTCCAGAAGTCTCTGCTTACCATCAGCCATCCAAACGTCTAGGGGAAAGCGCTCCTCGCTCGAAAACCAGCTTTTTGGGGGGCTGGTACCGGGGATTGAACTCAGGACCTTGCACTTGCAAGGCAGATGGCGGAGCCACTGAGCTAAATCCCTGACCCTCCACCCCACCCCCTGCTTTTGAATTATCTTCAACTTTAGAAGAAATAACTCCTCACAAGAAAACTTCCCCTTTCAAACCCTTTGTTTTCCTTTAATGCAATCCACACATACACTCTGGCTCCCGGCTTCAAAAGCCCAATCATCTGCAATTTTGGAGCTTGTTGCTCGTGAAATTCTGCCAATACACACACCACAAACATTCCTATAGCAACAGAACGTCTCGCAGCGATGTCTGCAAAGATTGTAGATCATTATCTGCGGATGCTGGCGCTGATGAGGGAAAAACTGTTTATGTACAAATAAGTCAATGTGAGAGCTGGCAACCGTGAGGACCTTACGGGGAGCCCAGCCCCTACACAGGTGGGAATCGGGAATGCACTTAGTCCAGTACTTGGGAGGCTGAGGCAGGAGGATCAACACAAGATTGACGCCAGCCTGGGCTGCACAGTGAGTTCAAGGCCTGCAAAAACCAAAACCAACCGACCAAACAAGCAAAAAGGAATGCACTTAGTTCCTAAGAATAATTCACTGTCTTTAACCCCAACGTGGGAACTTTTCGGGCTCCTGGCAGCACCCCAGGTCCCTGCAACCATCAGACTTTAGTGGCTACCTATTGCATGTCAGCTGTGGCGCTGGACTCCAAGTTTCTTCTCTCCCTCCCCTCCCTTCCTCTTTTTTTGAGGCAGGATCTTGCTATGTAGCCTGGGCTGGCCTTGAATTAGCAGCAATCCCCTGCCTCAGCCTCCTGAGTGCTGGGATAACAGGCACGTGCCACCAAACAGGGCTTTTTTTGGTTTTTTTGAGACAAGGTCTTGCTATATAGCCCAGGCTGGCCTCAAATTTGTAGTGATGTTCTTGCCTCAGCCTCCCTAGTGCCCGGATCACAGCCGTGTGCCACACCCTCCGTGGGTTCTAAATTTCCCAACATGAGTTCTCTGCCAAAGAGGCTCGAGAGAGATTTATAAACCTAATTATAATTCCTCTTTCCTACTCGGTGGAGATTACTGGCTGGTGTTAAGGGAAAGGAAACAAGTTCCACCCATTCTCCACGCACCGCCCCCATATGGAGTGGGCGGGGTTAACGTGTTAGCAAGCACAAGGTACTAGACATGCACAACCCACTGGAGACCACAGTGTTCCCTGCCATCAGGTGCTCACAGTCTAGCAGGGGAAGCTAAGTCAACATCAACAAATTAGAAATAACTGTAACAGTGGGGTCCTAAAGAAGCATGGCTACTTCTCCAACAATACACAATGGCAGCCTGGAGTGGGAAAGGCTCAGTAGTGCTTTCCTAAGAAATTAAGTCTTTAATATGAGCCCTAAGAATAAATTAGTGCAGTGAAGTAGGACGGCTAAGGAGGGAAGGGTGCTACGGGCACAAAGGAGCCTGTGCAAAGGTCCTGTGGCACGAAGAAGCAAGGCACATTCTAGCTGTGAAAGGAGACTCTTAATAGGATCTTTCTGGTCCCTATTTTTGTTTTTGTTTTTTTCAAGACAAGGTCTATGTAGTTCAGGCTGGCTTTGAACTCACAATGGAGCCCAAACCGGCCTTGAACTGGCAGCAATCTTTTTGCCTCAGCCTCTCCAGTGCTGGGATTACAGGCGTGCGCCACCACACCCGGAAGTCATTCTGATTCCTGATCTCACCCATGTCCCTATCACTACAGGTATTTAAAATGTGAGGTTTTTCAAGAAAGCACCCGAGGAGTTACCTAAGCAAATCAGCAGCAGACAGTGCATATCTGCTAAATTCTGGCTCTTCTGAAGTCGGAGCCACCCTGTCTGCCTTCCCCGATGTATAATTTAGGAGTCTTATCTCATTGTTTTTTCTGCAACAGTGGTAACTTGGTTAAAATCTGTGTAGCCAGTGGCAAAGTTAGGCAACGGTGACAGGAGACTGACAAGTGTGGTTTGGAGGCGTGGGTGCGTACTGTCACCAGGGAAGCCTCCCGCGGGGTCACTGCAGGCAGGGCACACGACTTGCCCAGAACTCCAGTTCTGCAGCTCAGCACCCCGGCCTGGCCCTCACTGGCCAAGCGGCCTCGCTTCTCTTTCAGAGAACCGCAGGCTTCCTCGCTGGGGGTCTCAGGGGATCAGCGACAACCTAGGTCCACACTGAGCACGCTGCCTGGCCTCCAGCAGGCCCCGGGCAAGGGACGCCGTCCACAGGAGCTGCCCAGCCCACCCAGGGTCCCCAGGACTTGCAGTCTCTTGGTCTGTGCCCTCCAGGGTTCCCAGCTGAGATCCCACAGCCATCGAGATGCTGCACGGAGAACTTGCACACGACCCCACCCGGCCCCAGGAACGGGGCTGGAAATCAGCAGACTGGGATTCTAGTCCCTGCCCCAGTTCCACACCAACAACCCCGGGACAAAGAGCTGACTCTCCGATGGGAGAAGAGGCAGCAGCTACCACATCCCCATGGCGGGGGACACCTATAACATTCAGGCAGCCCTGCAGTGCTGCCGAGATCGCCGCTGTACAAGAGGGGAAACTGAGGCCGGAACTGAGCGGAAGAGCCAGGGTGCGGAGTCCAAAGCCCAAAGCCACCCCTCCCAGGGGGCCGGAAGTCTTGCCGATCTCCTTGCTCTGCGACCACTGAGGAGACATCTGGAAAGCGGCCCCTCAGCCACCAAGCCACCAGGCAAGGCTGCCTAGCCTCAGTTTACCTCCTGTACAAATGCTGCCTCCCAAGCCACACTTGCTAGAGTGAAGGGGAAGACAGAGCGGAGTTTTGAGGAGGGAAACGAGGAAGCGGAGCTGACAGGAACGGCCCTGTCCCCCAGCCGCCAGCCGGGGGTGGTGTGGGGGCGTCTCCGGG